GTAAGGCCTTATATTCATTCATTGGAAAAAAAAACTTTTTTTTAAAATATAATATAATATTAGCGGCTCCATACGGCATCATGCCAACGGTTTAAAAAAGTTAAGGACTGTTCTGACCACTATAGCGGCCAGCAACAAACTCGAAAACTTTGCGCACATGTAGATTCTATATATGCATACATTTTTTGCTAAAAAAAGTCAACATTGTAAAGGAAAAATGTTGTCCTCTAAAGGTCTTCTAAACGTTATATATCATTTCGCTATATAAAAATAATTTTAAAAATGTGAGTGTAAATACTTTTCGGAGCCACCGTACTTCTTTGCAATATCTAAATACTAACTCAAGTTGCGTCTTTTTGTCAACAGCTTTTTGCTGGTAATTATTATTTTTAACGCAGCAGTATGATGAAAATGTAGAGAAACTTTTAAAACATTGATTTTGTTAATGCTAATGTAATTGTTTCTATTTTCTCCTATATTGGACACACCTGAAATATCTTGATGATATAGATGACATAGATATAGATGACATTTTCCTTTTCAATTCAACTCTGTGAACGCTGTTGCTTCTAAGGCCATTGCTATCAGCGACTTTACTATTTGAATGTTTTTTTTTTTCATGTCAACGACACATGCATGTAAACAATTAGACAAACCTAACGTCACTACCAGATCGAGAAAGTTACATCTAGTTTTGAAAAAAATGGTCTAGATCTCACCATTTCACCAGAGAAATTAGCCGGAAAATGTATAAAGTAACTTTAAATGTATGCTTCTCTAACAAAACAAAAAAGCCCCGAAGGGTACAACAGCAAAAAATAACAAGTCTAGAATTCAGAGCACGAAACAAACACGTCTATCTGTATACTCACGTGAAAAGAGAGAGAGAAAGAGTAACTTTGTGTATATGATATTTTTATAGTCTTTCGTCACCATTTTCACAACGCATAATACAAATTGAATTCTCAATTATATTTCAAACTGTAAGGCATAAACGTTTTTAAGTCGTTTTATACACATCACATTTTCCAACAATTGCATGAGTGAATTATTAATGTCATTCTTTTAATTTTAATAAAAAGGCAAAAAATTATTTACGAATCTGCCACGCGAGGTATTTGTCAAACGTTTTAAAAAACTTAGCGCGTTCGGCTGAAACACGGAACCAGCACAAAATAGCAATGGTTTAAATTACTACGAGTCTATCTTGGGTCTCGTGTAATCGAACATTAACTCTTTCGATACGGCGGTCCTCGCTGCTGGAACGCTTTCATTGAACAAAACGCCGCGCAAAAGTGTATGTACATGTTGCGTGCGAACAGTTTTCAACGTTCGGCACTACGTCTTACATCTAACCAACGCTGCTTTGATAATCCTTTTCGCAAGAAAAGCGATTTTTCCTTAAAACAAGATAATATAAAACAAGACATTTATAAGTTCTACTATATATTTATATTGTTGTAAGTAGAGCTTGTGTTATGTTGTGTAATTATATTATGTCCCAGATAGCCAAATGTGAAAACTCAATATAAAGCAAATCATTGTATAAATTAAGTTGCTCGCCAACTGCTGTTGTGTTGTTTTTATTTAACGCAACGAAAATGTTTTTGTCAATTCAGTATCAATATGCTGAGTTTTATTATCAATCAATTGTTGTAGCCAATGTTTAGGACATGTGAGTCAGCAATATGTGAGCAATATATAAGCAATAATTTTTATTCATAAGTTGAGAAAAATAATATAAGTTTATTGCCGATGAGTTGTTGAGAACTTGCTGTTATTATATTTTGAAAACTGTTGTTGGAAAGAACATACTGAAAAGAGGATACACCCTTTTGTTACATTGCTGAAAACATATGAGTAATATTTGTGGCAAGTTTCCAACAACTTGCACTCAGTTGGCTAATCTGGGGTGTTATCATTTTATTTAAGTGGATTATGCAACACTGTTGAAACTCGGATTTTAGTTACTAGGTAATTTTACGTTCAAAGGGGACTGGAATCCGGCACGGATGCCCAGTCGCGAAGCGATATGCGACCGCGCGCACAAGAACGCACCTGTCAAAGGTCGCACATGCAGCCGAAAAGATGCAATGGTCTGTATTGCACTTTTCGGAAACCGGATGTCGCCTGGGTTTCCTCGGCCAATCAGAAGTGATTAGCTGAGGAATAAAAGCCGGTGTCGTAACAGGCGCAGGCAGAATCATCCCGAATAGTGTCGCGGCCAAAGGCTCTGCGCAGCAGAGCATTGCCTGTTTATAACTAATAAGAACAACGCGGGTTGTAGTAAAAGTGTACACCGGTAATGAAATAAAAGAAGTTTTTATTCCTTTTTACGGAAAAGATATAAAGTAATTTTATCCATTCTCGGCGTTCCTCCTTCGCAGCATCTTTAACCTTACGCAAAGTAACAATATATTTACTGCAAGTTTAGTGTAAGCATACAAAGTTTTGTAGCGAGTGACTATAGTCGCTTGTCGTATCGAAAGAGTATTGAATAAGTAAGCTCGATGCCATTTCCTGTCTTATTGCACTGTCTTGGTGCACATTTTATCTCGTAAGTCCCTGTGATTGCTGTCTCCTTACAATCTTTGCACTTGTCATTCTCTGATATGTCGTCTTATGCGCGAACTTTATTTAACTCTGTATACATTTCAGCGTGCTGGAACACGAGAAACAACGTCGACGACGGACGGATAAGACTCGATAGAAAACTGGCGGGCAAGTTTGGCGACTATAGTTGCAACTCGCCTTGGGCTTTGATCGAATCGGCGGCACGAGCAATGAGATCGAAACATAGCGAAGGGATAGAATTTGTCTTGTGGACCGGGTAAAGATAAAATACGTCGTTTGTTATTACTTGCTTGACAACAAGTTTGTAAATTTTGTTAGCCTTTAATATTCTTTTTTAGTATATAATAAAACAATAAAGTTAATTATTCAAATGTCATTTATTTACACATAGCATATTTATGAATTAATATTGATTATCGATCTTTATAGTATTAATAATACTTAGTATATCTGTTTTAATTGTGTAATTAAACAAACTTACGTGAAGTTTGATTACAATTATGCTGTCTCGTCCGGATGGATACTGGTAGTAGCGTTCCGCTGTACTATTCTTTGGATACATTGCGAGACTCCGCGTCAGCCTCGATATTCTGAGTTAAAGGAATGTAGAAGGCATAGATAAACATATCGCGCTTTGCGCACCAAGACCAGATGCGACGAGCTAGTAGCGATAAGACAAGGAATTTTATCAAGCCCATACGATTAATATATGAAAGAACCATAGAGTTATCTACTCGTAAAAGAACTTTAGCTCCAATTAAATAAAATGCGAAACATCGCAATGCGTGAAAAATGGCTAAAAGCTCCAAATAATTAATATGATGACGTTTGTCATCTAGCGACCAAAAACCATGAGTTCGAGAGTCACCATATACGGCCCCCTAGCCTGTTAAGGAGGCATCGGAGAAGATCTTGAGATCAAACAAACTCGAACAAATATAATTACGTTGTGAATTGGCCAAAAATATAGCCTTCCACTATAAGAGATCCTCTTTGAGTGACGGTAAGAGAGACATCCAAGCCTCGAAGTTATCACCTGTGGCCATCAGATCCAAAAACTTTCTTTTTCGAAACTCTTAGTGTGTAACATACCATACTGAACCGCCGGGCAAATGGATATCAAAGAACCTATAAAGCTGGCAAAATGTCAAATCTTGCACCGATTTCTACGTAGCTTGGCAAGAGTCATGTTGAGAAGAGATGCTCTCCTGTCAGGAGGAATCGATATCGCAAAATGTTCTGTATCAAAGATAAAACTTAAGAATCAACAACATTTAGCCGGTGTAAATATGCTCTTGTGTTTGTTGATAACAAAACCTAAAAAAGATAACACGTTTACTGTCATGATGACATTTTGCGATGATACATTGATACATTGATCATAAGTGAGTGCGATAAGAAGAAAATCATCTAAGTATATCACAGAGACGAGGCTTTTGATTCTAAGTAAGTATAAAATCGATTTCGTGATCTTGGTAAAGATATACGGAGCTGACGCCAGTCCAAAGAGTAGGACTCGAAACTGAAAAAGCTGATTTTGGAAGCAAAACCGTAAAAATTTTCTATCGTCCGGGTGGATAGATAAAAGAAAGTATGCATCCTTCAAATCAATTGATGCAAGAAAGTGATCTGGAGAGAGAAGGCAGATAACCGTCTTCCAATCCTCTAACTTAAAATGCGGACGATGAACTGGTTGAGGTGCTTCAGATTAAGTATAAACCTCTATCCTCCTAAAGATTTTTTAATAATAAACAAAGATAAAAATTGCTCGTCCTGATCGCTGACCACTTCAATAGCTCCTTTCTTGAGAAGACGAGAAATTCTTTGAGAGCAAACTTTTGTCTCAGGGGGGGATAAAGAAACAAAAGGTTTATTGCGCTGAATTGGTGGATATCATACAAATGAAAGCTTACAACCGCAATGGTTTGTAAAAGTACCGGATCTGACGTAATGTTTTGCCAACGAGAGAGGAAAGAGAATAATCGGCTTGTGATATACCTCCTTTCCGTCTAACGTCTCCTTGATCGAGACCTGGAACGGTGCGATCGACGATTGTTGCTCGTTACCCCTATCCTCCTCGACCTCGAGTATCTCACAGAGGCTTTTCTCGATCAAGCAGGTGCAATTCTCGTCGGTTATCTGAACGGTTGCTGAATCTTCTTAGAGATTACCAGCGGCGTCTTTAGGATATCTTTAGAAGATTTTTCCATAGAGGTCGCTTTTTTAATTCGCTCTCCGAAGGAAGCACCGAACAAAAGATCATCGGCCGGAATAGCATCCGCTGTGTACTTAGCTGTCAGGTTAAGCACTGAAGTGATCTGCGCTCTCCTAGTTAAGGAGAGCCGATAAAATAAAGCGGCCAAGATCTTTGTCCCATTGTTAACCTTGGCAACAGCAAGGCGAACCTCAGGGTTTAGAGCTTGCTGTATAGCAAGCCTGAGAAAGTTAGAGATAGCCTCTCCAAAGGCGCACAAGGCTATGTTAACGTGATCCTGATTTTTGCTGTTATATTTGTCCCTCTTGACAATGGAGTTGCTCTTCAGCGCTATTTTGCACTTGTGATTCAACGCAGGAGCCTTGAGGAAGGTCACAGCCTCAATAGGAGAGTATTTTTTAAGCAAGGGTGCGCGTTGGTCTGCGGGTAGTTTGCTACGCGTCAGATTACGCCACCGCTGAGTCACTGTCTCATCCCAGGGCAATAAAGTCTCTCCGTCAAAGTCAGAACCAAATAATTGTTTGATCAGAGATTTCGCGTCATCCCTGTCGAATGCGGCAAAAGCGGGAAAAGAGCTGACCCTCTAATCTAGTGATACTCGCTTAAATGGTTTAGGGCGTGTGTCACTATCGCCTGATATACTCATTACTGCAACAAAGAGAAAAATATCAGACGTGCCGAAAAATTGAAAGGAAGAAGGGTAGTGCCGTCATACCGCCTGTATTTTGCAAATACAGATCCAGCAATATCAAACACACTCTGCAGGCAGTGTTCACACTTTTGGCTTTCTTACAGCATGCTAAAGTGATGGAAGGGATGCGCACAACAGCAGCGAGTTTATACAATTAGAACTCGTTACTGTTGTGCGCATTTCTTCCTTCGCTTTAGCATGCTGTAAGGAAGCCAAAACTGTCAACACTGCCCTGCAGGTCCGTTGTCTGAGACAATATTACCTAAGTCAGATCTTATATGAGCAGTAGATTCAGACTCGGTACATAACCCGTGGTCCTCCTAATAGATCGGCGAAGACGCTGTAAACAAAGGTGAAGAGTGGGGCATAACCTCACTTTGTGTCAAAATGTCAATAAAGCGGGACATTTTATCTTCTAGACTCGCGAGACGATCGGCAGACGATGATCTCTTCCTCTTCTCTGATTTGCAAGCAGATTTTTCCATCATAAAAAACAGAAAACACAATAAAACACAGAGAACTACACGAGACATGTTGAGGAATCACACAACAATAACGATCCGTAGGCGCGCGCCTGGAGGTAAAGCGCCTTTTTCGAATTGCTTTAAAGACTTGTTGAGGATAGTACAACGGAACGCTACTACCATTATCTATCCGGACGAGACGTTGCATAATTAATATTTTTATGCTGATTTTACGTAAACATGCACGTTTTATAATAATAATAATAATTATTATTATTATTATAAACTTCCTTTTCTTTCATTCCGTCATTATTATTATTATCATCCTTTTTGTTATACACATTATTATTAGCGTCATTAGTTTAGTCATGTAACATGAATTAGTATTGTCATCATTAATTCACGTTATATGTCTAGAATTTATAAAAATTCAACACCTTTGTAATAATCAAACAATATACAATGTACTACCGTTAATAATGATTGTTAAATGAATTATTAACGTATTGTAATTTATTTATGAGGCTTTATTATATCAATAAAATTATAAATGAAATTCTGTTTAGAGACAAGTAACTTGTTAATTCAGTTAATAACGCGATTATTATATGTACAGAATTTATTAACGGTAAATAAATTTATTTTACAAATGATTTATCTTAGATAGAGATGCGCATAGATTTGCAATTAATTATTGCTGACGTTGGTATATAAATTGTGTCAATATACAATGATTTTTTGGCTTTTTAACATTGGTTTACTTCACAAATATGCAAAGAATTTAAATAAAAAATGCGTTTGTTTTGATGTTTATGCATTTTAAACATCAATCTGTCTGTATAGCTCTTTAAATGTAGAACAAAAATAGATTGACGCTCAAAACGCGTGAGCGCTTAAAGCAAATGCATGTATGTATGCCACTTATTTTGTATTAATTGTACAATCTGTTCAACAAAACAGGAACCGCAATTGTTACAAGAGTTTTAAAGATGTCTTGTTTTTTTTTGTTTTTTTTTTATGAAAGTACGTCTAAAGAGTGACGGCGCAAATGCCAAACCGATTCAATATTGCTCGAACTGTCTTAAAGAGCAGACCCGTTCAAATATGAGTGTAAAGTACGCCAAGCGCTTTGAAGCGGTCTTTTTGTGTTCCTACTCCCACGAGCTACACTTAAATCTTGCCGCTGCTGCTAAAGTGATCAAAAAGTCTAAGAAGTTTGTGCAGAAGTAGGTGCAAAGGTTTAAGAAAATTAAAAACGTTGATGACTGACCAGGACGGAGAAAGAAGCGAGCGACTACGAAAAGATAGGACAAAGTAATCGTGTAGATGTTTAAGCATACCCTTATTCTACGACTGTGAGAAGTCTGAGCTTACTAAAAGAGGAGTATGTGTGAGTATGAACACGATAAGACAGCACTGCATCGAAACAAAAATATCGTAGCACAAAGGTGGAACCTCTGCTCTCTGAAATTCACATGCAAAAACGCAGGTCACGTGCTGCCAAAAATCTCTGACGCAACTGGTTGAAAGTAATTTTTTCTGATAAATCGTCGTTTTAGGCATGGGTTCCTGTGAAATATGCCTGGTCGAATCCAAAAGAAAATTTTTTAGCAAAGTGTTAAACACCCAATAGAGATCCAAATTTGGGAATGCTTCTCTGAGCGTAGTTTTGGCTGTTTAATGCTTTTCACTGAAAATCTGAATACTCAGAGAACGCTTAAAATTTACAAACATGGTTTTCTGAAGTATGCTAAGATGTTTGGGAAAGAAAATGATTTTTGGGTCTTGCAAGAGGACGACTCAAAACATCAAAGCCGGCTCTACACCATGTGGAAAAAAGAGAATGGCGTTGAGACAATGGACTGGCCGGCAAATTCCCTTGATGCAAATTTTATCAAAAATATGTAAAGTATCATGAAGAGAAAGCTTGCAGGAAAGCGCGTATTTACTGTCAAGCAACTATCTTGCGAGAAAAAGATGCCAGGTCATACTGGACAACGGAGGGAACTAGACTTATAAGTTGATTGCATCCTTCTGAGGATACTGTAATGTAAAAAAAAATCAAATATCTGGAAAATTCTTGAAAAACTCTCGGTTCCTTTTTTGTTAAACAGACTATATGTGCGTATTTCTTTACATTAGAATAAATTTTCTCTAATTTTCATCGAAGAGATAAATGCAAAACAAATTGTTTAATCAGCTGTCTATTTTATTGTTAACGTACTAATTATACCAGATAGATATATATCTAACTACATTGTTGTCGTTGCATCTGCCGTCTTATCTCTTCCGAAGTGACATGTCTTTATTTTGTGACGTTTCTTTTTCCTTGTTGTATTTATCAATAATCACAAACGCTTGTATTGTACTCTTTGATCCTATGTAACTAGGACTAACGAAGCTGTAACTACTTGTTGCAGTGATGCGTTGACGCGCACTGCTGACATGAGCATTGAGCAACGTCTGCAGTATTTGCGGAACTTGACCGATTTGTTGCATCGTACGTTCAAAGGACAATTCGTGTTCCCCGCGCTCGGCCACGAAGATATCAGCGTTAACTACACGCAGCTCGCAACTCTGTGGCAGAACTGGTTACCGCCAGAGGCGGTAGACACTTTTGTCAAAGGTACTACTTATCAGTTTTCTTTATAAAAAAATCATAAAAACATTGTGTCAAATCTTGCAAAATATATTTATAATTATATTTATAAACACAAAAAATAACATCAATCGATCAACGTTATTTTATATGTAGATAAAATTTTCTTTACTTACAATTAAATTAGATTACTAAATATAAAAAAAAACAATTCAGGTCTGTTACGAGCTTTAAAGGATCTTACAATTCATTAAAAAACAACGTAGAGAAATAAAATTACAAATTACAAACGTTTCGGCCCATACTTGAGTCCTTTTCAGTATAGAGAAATTATATATAAAAAATATATTATATTACGCCATGTTTCAAGAGAACGGAAAGCTCAATGTTAACGTATTACAATATATAAAATCTTACATTTGAAAGTCCCTGTTCAAAAAATTTTTCATTTTGATCATGTAATCGAATCTGTTCATAACTACCGTTATATTGCCCTTGTCTCGCGTGAAAATTATTTCCGGATGCTGTCTCATATAACGCGTAGTTGATCTATGCATATTCAGCATTTGCCTGTCATTGACAGAGACATAAAGTTTTTGGTGAAAAAAGTTATGTAATTTTGTAATCACAGTATTTCTAATCTCTACTTTTAATCTAATGTCGTACTTTCTTATATTAAACTCAGTGTCTTTTGAACTCGTGAATAATAGGGTAGAAGACCCAATTACTGTCACCTGAATAATACTACCATGATCAAAAAGTAACCGGAATTTTTAATTTAAACCTCGCGGGCTTATCGGTTTAGAATTCTGTTGTTTGTGTCACGTTGGCAGCACTGTTACGGACACCCATGCCAAGCTTCTGCTTATCAGCTGTTCAATTACCTTTATGACAGTGATTTCTTTACATCAAGTTTTTACGTCGCGGCGATTTTTACAATGGATTAAAAACTTAAACAACGTTCTTGCATTAAATTTTGCTATAAAAATGAAATTAAGTGTTCCGACACATTAAAAATGTTACAAAAGTGTTATGGTGACAATACTCTATCGAAAACACAGGTGTACCAGTGGTATAAACGCTTTAAAAGTGGTCGTGAGGCTGTTGAGGACGATGTTCGTCCTGGGAGGTCATCGACATCGAAAATTGATGAAAACGTCGATGAAATCCGACAATTGTTGATCGAAAATCGCAAATTGACGATAAGGGAGATAGTTGAGACCACCAACATATCATTTGGATCCATTCAGAGCATTTTGCGTAAAGATTTGGGTCTGAAGCAAGTCACTGCGAGATTGGTGCCAAAAGAACTGAATTTCGTGCAAAAATTGCATCGCGCTGAAATTTCAAAAGAGATGGTTTCCATGGTCGATTCCGACCCAACAGTCATCCAACGCATAATTACAGGTGACGAGACGTGGGTGTATGAGTACGACACGCAAATACGACATCAATCAAGTGAATGGCGAGCTAAAGATGAGCCAAGACCCAAAAAACCACGTCGATTTCAATCAAAGACAAAAGTCATGCTTACTGTTTTCATTGACTACAATGGTGTCGTTCATCATGAATTCCTCCCAAAAGGCCAGACAGTCAACAAGGAATATTACCTAAGAGTTATGAAACGGTTACGCGAAGCTATCCGCAAAAAAAGACCTGCTTTGTGGAGCAACAACTCGTGGATTCTCCATGACGATAATGCGCCATCTCATAATGCGTTGATTATTCGTGAGTTTCTCGTCAAAAACAACACCAATACGATTCAACAACCGCCCAATTCACCTGATCTGGCACCATGTGACTTCTTCCTATTCGATCGACTCAAAAAACCACTACGAGGAACTCGGTTTGAGAGTGTGGAGGCAATAAAGCTAAAATCGCTGGAGGCACTAATGGCTATACCAAAAACCGACTTCCAGAAAAGCTTTGAGGGGTGGATCAAACGCTGGCACAAGTGCATCGCAGCCGACGGGGACTACTTAGAAGGGGACAACTTGAAGTTTGAAGAATAAACATGTACTTTTCTTTTTATGAATAAATTCCGGTTATTTTTTGATCATGGTAGTAAACTCTGGCGTTAGTGAATTGTTTTTACTACTTATTTATCAAAAACATGTGTTTTTCTTTTTATCTGATATTATTTGATGTTTAATATAAGAAACAAAATAATACCGCTTCTCAGAATCTCTAGTTTTATTTATAAATTTAATAATTAAAAATGAACGATGCGAGAGAGCTATTACTGTCACCCCTAAAATGAAAGAAATGAGACACGAATGTTGAGTGCTGGGTTTTTTGTTATATTAATTGCACTTAAAATTCTATGTTAGATTGTTTTCATGCATAACTTTTTAGGATTTATTTAATATTTTAAATAAAATAGCTTAGGGTGACAGTAATTGGACAGGTGACAGTAATTGGGTCTTTTATCCTAGTTTTTTTTTGTCGCAAATGGGGAGGCAGTGTTTTTCTCCAAATTGTAATAGTCAAACGACATCATTTGAGATAGTGTTATTAGATAAATTTAGAAACCATTTGTTATTAACTGTATGTAAAGGATTTTTTAGTTCCTTATTACGAAAAAATTCATAAGAAACAAAAACGGGAACGCAATTTTCGTTATTATTTTCAAAAGTCATTTTTTCTTTGTCGTTGGAATTGTCTAAAGAACAGTAGTAACTGATAGGTGTAATATTATTGCGAGATTCAACATTAGAGCTTTTGATTAAACTAAAAATCTTATCGCATTTTTTTAAAAAAAAGTTTGTAACTGTACTTATTGAATGAAATAAAGGTATTAGTCAAAATTGTATTTCAAATGTAAGAAGCAAAAGAATTAGACAAAACACTGGCAAGATGAGAAACACTGTGTTTTAGCCTGTACAATGATCTGTGAAGGTCAAAGATCTCAATATTCAACACCTTTAAATGCAGGACATTAAACAAACAATTCAATTTTCGTACAGCAATATGGCGTGATACCCTTATGTTAGTTTTCTTAATAAAGCTAAGATGTTTCGGATATAAGTTAAGGTGTTTACATTCAGATAGGAATGAGATATGTGACGTAACTCTGATGACTTTGTAATGTAAATCTATCCATTTCTTGAGAAGACGTGTGAACATCGAGAACAAAGCTTTAAATAAGTTTAATAAGTTAATTACGTTTTCTTATCGCTACGTAGATGATATCGTTCTCGCGGCTCCATCACAATCTGTAGATGACATTGTATCCGTGTTCAATGCATATCACGATAGAATTAAGTCCGTGTTCAATGCATATCACGATAGAATTAAGTTCACTACGGAATTGGAGGATAACCGTTGCATTAATTTCTTAGACTTATCCATTCAAGCTGTTGACAAAAAACTGAAAATATATTGAAACTAAGAATGAAAAGGCCAATCCGAGCCATTCCCAGGATGTTGTGCAGGAATAAGCGTGCATGTATATATATATATATATACACATGTATGAAATTCACATGTAAATTATTTTACATGTGGGTTTTTTGAATTGAAATTTTAATTCAAATACCCCCCTAACTAATTTGAAAATATTGCGAAAAAAACTCTTCGGCCAGGAGTCGAACCTGGAATCTCCGGCTTTCCGTGCCATCGCCTTCCCTGTTAGGCTACCGAGGCACTTGGAGTTTGTCTCGCAATATCCGTATATAAATCGATGTTCTGATAATTTTAATAACGCTTCATTTCAGCCGGCGTGAAATCAAACAAATGAATAGTCAAGGCTCGTGAAAATTGAAATTTGAAAATATATTGGTTTCACAAAAAGACCTTTTCAGGAAGATTCTTATCATTTTTCTCCCATCATCCTTTATGTCACAAAAAAGGCATCATTTTTAGTTCAATTGACCGAGCAATCTTATTGTTACACCCTGATTTCCACGAAAAAAAACATCACTTTTGTCATTGATACACTACTGAACAACGGTTCTTTTGGATTTCATTTTTAACACCATCACCACCAGGATAAAAAAATGTATCTCGTAAAAAATGAACAATTCATTTGAGATTAACTCTCTATTAACTCTCTCAATTCAATAGACAGGAATTTAATTGTTCTTCCGTACATTTAGTAACATTTCCGAAAATATTAGTAACACGACTTTAAAAAGTCGAAAGTTATTATAGGTTACAAATGTTTTAACAGGCTTAACAGAATTATAAAAGTACATAAAGACCCCGTTATACGCGATTCTAATAGTAACATTATCTATAAAATAAATTGTAAAGATTGCTGTGCATCATACGTTGGACAGACGAAGAGGCAACTGAAAACACGAATCAAAGAACACATAAAGAACATTAATAACACATCCTCACAACTTTCGGTGATTTCAAATCATAGACTCGATTCTAATCACTCGTTCAATTGGGACAACATTCAGATTTTAGATCACGAACCTAATTTTTACACAAGAATTATATCCGAGACCATACATATCAAAGAACAAACACATGGTTTAATCTAATTAACGATACTGATTTACTTGACCATTCATACTTTAAATTACTTGACGATATTAAATCTTCCAAATTTTAAGCTTTAACGGATTTGCTTTCTACAATTTGACTCACTGGTGGGTATTGAGATTTATAAACTGTTGCCTTGGTTCTCTGCTCACTGTCTGATTTGACTTTCGACATGTAAGTTACTTTAACTGTTTGTTGTGCCTCACACGGACTCTTGACCACATAACTGTTTCAGGAAGTCAAATTACTGCGTGGGACTTTCGAATGTAAGATTTTATATATTGTAATACGTTAACATTGAGCTTTCCGTTCTCTTGAAACATGGCGTAATTTAATATATTTTTTATATATAATTTCTCTACACTGAAGAGGACTCAAGTATGGGCCGAAACGTTTGTAATTTGTAATTTTATTTTTCTACGTTGTTTTTTACTGAATTTTAAGATCCTTTAAAGCTCGTAACAGACCTGAATTGTTTTTTCTTATGTATTAATAATGCGAGCGTCTCATATATATTTAATTTTTAAATTGAATTATATAGTATTATTATTTGAGTATATA